GGCTTTGTGCTTCTCATAAATTGAATTTATAGATTACTTTTGCCTCTTACCGTTGCTTCATGCTATCTTTTTTCTTCTCAGCACAGCTCCATTCCCTTCCAACCCCCACTTTTCCTGTTTAGTGAAAACTCAGGTACCAGGCCTAGGTCCAACTCAGGACACACTCACAGGTTAGTTTCCCCTTGTGTATGTGTAGACATTCCTACGCCTGTACTAGCCTGGTCAGGTTCCCGATCTTGGGCAGTGTGAGTAAGCCCATCCAGAGAGAAGCACCAGGAGATATATTTCAAAACAAAATAAGACCCAAAAAAAACCATTCTCTTTGTTAAGGTTGCATATCAATCCTGGGTTGCCCTAATTTTACTTAACTATGAAATTATGAAATATCCAGTAGCTGGCACTTTGTGAAGATAGTCAGACCCTGCAAAAAAAAAAAAAAAAAAAACCCTACAATTCAGAAATCAGTTGGCAAGATTACTGTGTAACAAAAATATTTGAGGAAAGCAGTTAAAATCATTTTAATAAATGGAAATTACATACCTCGAGTCTCTAGGGGCACTGTCTGTGTTGACAGTGCAAGTTGCCAGTTGTTCCACAGTAGCAGAAACCAGGAGATTTGGGCAAAGAGCAAAGTAAATTCCTGAAGTGTTCTCTCCTTTTAATAATTTACCTAGTTGTTTACAAAGTTCTTGTAGGCCTAAATATGTGAATGATGAGCAATAGCAAGGAATCTCTTTCTTCACATTAAGTGTTAGCAGTTCCTTAAATGAAGGAAGGGATTTCTATAATGTGCAAAGCTTCTCCCTCATTCTTGGGGGAATTTCCTGTGTTAATTTATTCAGTGTTAAATTTATGCAGTGTTGAAATTCAGCCCAACAGCACCTACTTACAGAACCAATACAGAGACTATAAGAGAACCTATAAGGTGGAAACCAAGACCCTACTATGTCTGAGCAGGTTTTACTGCATAGCTAGGATGTAGTAATGACACGGAATGTTTTATCAGTTTATTCATCTTTTTAAAAATTCAACTTGACATTGTCTCTGTTAATGTCTGACAGCAATGAAGCAGTTTGTACCACCTCTGCCAGCCAGTGCGGTTCAGCAGCAGGTTATAGACCAGCTGTGAGGCGTTCTTGTGGTTTCTCATATTTCCAAGGAGCTGCATACAAAGCCGATGAGTCTGTGAACTATCTTTGAGAATTTGGGTTGGGACACATGTAGCAGATATGTGGTGAATGTGGTTAGAAGTTATGTGTTTTAATGCTTGTCTACCTGTGTTCCAGTAGTCTGTCCTCAGCCAGCTTGTACTGTCACCAGGAGACTGTAATATTTGTATTACATGTTTTGTCTAAAAAAGTACATATCTCTATTTAGAGAGAAAAGAATGGTTAAGAACTCCGAAGCTCTCCAGAAACCCTTGAAATACTGCTTTCATTATGTGGTACTGGCTACAGATTATTTTACATTTGAAAAGAGGCAGATTGTCCCACAGCTAGGCTTATATCCTCAGGACCTTAAAATATAGGACGAGTACAGTTGTGCAGTCTTTTTTTTTTTTTTTTTTTTTTTGTGGAACCGGGGATTGAACTCAGGCCCTTGCGCTTGCCAGGGAAGCGCTTATTCCACTGAGCCATCTCCCCGGCCCAGTTGTGCAGTCTTGGCCAGGCAGCCAGCTTAGAAGTTCCTTTGGTATGTTCAAGAGTGCAGTGAATCTGTAACCCTAAATGCACACTGATACAGCATCACTCATAAATAGGCCACTGTCTTCAGTAACTAAATACCCTTAGATAGGCTCAGTGTACAACTGTTTTCTTCTGGCTTCCATTTGGAATTTAATAAAGAATGTCAGGCTGAGGTTGTCTGTACATCAGGAACTTACAGAGCACCCATCCATGTAATTGCGGAAACTTCCACCTAGATCAAGTCCCAAGGGGGTGAGCACAGATGAGACGCTATGACATTGTGACATTGCCAGGAGGTGTCTGAGTCTTGCTTGGTGGCTGCTGGGTGTTTTATTTTCCCTGCCAACACAGCTCTTGAGACAATGGGCTTGAGAGACGCTTCCCATTCTGGTGTGTGTTGCGAGCACCCCTGCCGAAAGAGCATTACACTTCTCTGCCTTGTCTCTCCTGTTTCCTGGGGACACATCTAACATTTGTGACTTATTTCACAATTGAGTTTATTTGAGTAAACTGTCGTCTTTTTACTTCTCTGCGTGCTGTCCTTAGCTAGTTTGCCTGCTTTTAAATCTATTATTTGAGGAGTCTGGACATACAATACCTATAACCCTGTAATTGTGAGTGCTTTAGAATAATCTGTGGGATAGTTTGTCCACTGTTTTCTCCTAAACTTTGCCCCATGTGCTCTCCTGTTTGTCTTTTCACTCTGTCTTTTGCCCCCTTTTCCATCTTTTTTCTTTATTTTTGACCTTAAATTGATAGAGATCGTTGGCCTGTCTCCCAAAGCCCACAGTCTATCAGGCAAGTCCCTGCAGAATTTCTCACCCCAAATCATCTAAATCATAAACTCCAAATTTGAGTTGTTTTCCTCGTTCTCTTTCCTGGCTCTCCGGTTGCCTGCCTAGTTCTCCCAGTGTCCCACACAACACCCTCCCCATACCAAGCGTCTCACTTTCTTTTTTTCATCCCATGACTTTGTAGCTCTTTGTATTCCCTGTGGTTTCTTATCTGCCCCGCCCTGGTCTTCCTGCCAGACTCCTCTGTTGGTGCCAGTGTAACCTTGGGTACCGTTCCTACCTTCCTAGATGGCACGCTCCTGTTTAAAAGCACATTCCCATGGTTTTTTGTTTGTTTGTTTGCTTGTTTCCCCCCTGGCCAGCAGGAAGCATCTCTGCCTGCTCTCTATCCTAGGCCTCTTGTCCTCTTCCTCTGGGTAAGCCCTGAGGACACACCCTTTCTTTCAGTGAGGCTTGTCTCCCTGCTTGCCCTTCCGGAGCTGGGCTCATTCCTGCCTCTGAAACTTTGTCTCTGCTTCCCATCTTTGTATCTTTAGACAGGTCTCACTATGCAGTTTGGGCGGGCCTTGTGCTCACTTTTGTAGCCCCTAGGCTGCTTCGAACTCACAGCTATCCTTGTCTCAACCTCCCAGGTGCTGGGATCACAACTGTGCACTACCACACCCGATTCCTTTGCTTCCCATCTTCATCCCATCCTGTCCTCTCCCCAAGCCGCTACCTGCATTCTATCTGTGGCAAAAGCTCATCTGAGAAGCCTTTTCCTATTGCTCCAGCTGTGGAGATTGTGTCTGCTGCGTCAGGCAGAGCTGCCCTTTCTTGAGGGTAGTTAACTTTTGCTGGATGCATGCATAAGAAACTGAAAAAGGGGGTAAAGAAAAACTTTTTTTTTTCAGATATGCTTTTGTTCCTTTTGAATGTTTTTACTGTATGCATTTATTAAGAAAAGTGTGTTTTAGTATATATTTAGCAAATAAAAATTAGTACATTATTATTCTGCATTATTCTTTAATTTCCCGTGGTATGTGTGTCAGTTTCGCATTCACTGAGTGCAGAGAGACCAGAGGAGCTGAGCATAGAGCTGAGCGGTGCCAGGGGGCTGGCAGGTAAGGGCCAGAGGAAGGCCCGAAGCTGGGAACTAGAGGGAGCCTTGGGCCTTGCCCACCCTCTCCTGGGGAATTTCAGAACTGAAGGGATAAAGGTCACTCTTTTCTTCTTTGTGTCTGTAAGAGTAAAGCGTACCCCTTGGCCTAGTATCTATCCAGATAAAATCTGATAGTTAAGAATACTTCCTGGGCCAGCAAGGTAACTCAGTGCACTAGCGCCTGCTTTGGCAAGCTCAGGGACTGAGGAGGGGTTTGGTCCCTGGAACCACATGCCCCTAGGCATTCGGAGCCAGCCCAGGCATGGTGGTACAGGCCTATAAGCCCAGCGCTGTGGAGGCTGGAAACAGGAGGATTACTGTAAGTCAAGCTGTGTAGTGAGACCCTGTACCAAATACATTTTTAAAAAAGAATACTTCTATCTTCCACCCTCCATCCGTAAGAATAACTACATTGAAAATAGAGATGGTCCCTGCCCAGCACCATGAGTGTCCCTAGTGGCTGAGGTTTTGGGGAGAGAAGCTCATGTTCTTCATCTGCCACATTCCCCCTGAGAGCCCTTGGCTATAACCCCTGCCTTGCCCCACTTCCTTGGGAATGGTTTCCTTCTGTCACTGGCCACACTGCCACATGCCCCTATAGTGAGATGGCCCCTATACTCCCCACCCCTTCATTCTCCCCACCCCTCTGTCTAGGCCACAGGTCCTTAGGGCATTTTTCTGGAGGGTGGTGGGAGGGGTCCTTTGGGGATTATACCTACTAAAGCACCTCGTATTCATGCTACAGTAGTAATATTGTGAAGCCCACAAACATATCCTTACCCTGCATTTTTTAAAATAATTTATTGAGAAATAGCAATGAGACAATTTCAAAACTGATCAGTAGGACAGTTTCAATAATAGATACATTGAACATTGTTGTCTCAGTGGTTATTCATTGTACAAGATGCAGACATGATATCCCGTCCATAAACACTATTAGAACATATCTTCTTATTCATTGAATTAAGAGAATGTAGCTATATATCTATCCTATTTTACAGATACAAAATGGTCCTTCATTTGTATCCCCTTTTTTGTTTAGTTTTGTCAGAGAAGGGTATTCCATTGTCATTTAAATATTGTAGGTGCGTGAATTCAGTAAAATATTCCAATATAGTTCAGTAGTCCAAATAGCAGTGCGTTATCCACAAGACTGGCAATGTCAGAAGTTGTTGACCTGAGCCCTTTGCATCCCAGCATACCAACATGGCTTCGCCCGTATGCCTTATTTTTATACCTTTCTGCTGGATGGTTACTCTGTGTTTTTGAAGTAGATATTTGAAAAGCAATCTAAATGATGCTAAGTAGTTAACTGCTGTCTCCCCTGCCTTGTGCACCTCTTCCTAGTAGTACCACTGATGGTTTTTATTTCTCTTTCAGAGCATGCTGGAGAAGGGAGGATAAAATCAACTGTAGAACATGCAAAACTCCTCCAACTTTAATTCCAGAAGTGGAACACTTTCTTTCCCGAGTAGGAAAATAATGCATTTAAAGAGAAGACCACTAAAGAGAAATGCCAGAAAATGAACTCTGTGAAATCATATCATGTTTTGCTCAACAGCAGCTTCAGAAGCCAAGGTCTAGATCAGGAATCAGTCATCAAAGGACACTGTTCTGTACCAGTAAATCCAATTTATAAAAAAAATAAAAGAGAAGGGCAGCGCTCTCCACCGTTTTGTACTTTCTGTTCAACTTCTGATCATGAGGTGCGTGTTTGCACACCAGGCTCCTCCTTGGGGTAACTTCACCTCCAAGGAAGCCGGGCCAGGTGGGGAGGCTGAGCTAACTGGAGTGGAGGAAAAGGGAGCAGAACAGCTCCAGGGAGAGGCACTTCTGGCATTGCCCTGCTGTGCCTTGCTCACCTCCCCTTTCTTCCTTATCCCCTTTGCCTACTTATTCTGGTGGTCATGCAAGTAAGAGAGAAAGGAGAGAGAATGTTCCTCTGTGCCTGGGATGATGTTCATGATTACAAATGAAATCAGGCATTTTTATAAATACAAAAACAACCTTGGCCTGTGCAGCCTCTAACATGAATACTGACAACTTTACTCACTGTTAATAATAAATATATTTTCTGACAATGACTGACTGGCATTGTAGTTTGGGACTTCAAATGTTCCTTCATCTGGGGTAGATGCATAATGGAGCGGAACTGATTTACAATGTTACTAATTTGCATTTGTGCCATACCTTTCCTCTAAAAGTGTGCAAGTACTTGTGGCAGAGCCTGAGACAGGCCGGTGGCATGAGAGTGCCCCAGGTAGATAAGAGTTCGGAAGGTGCTCGCAAACTGCAGGAAACTTCCTTTCTTTGGGATGACTTAAATCATCCTGCCTGGGGCAAGAAGCAGATTGGATTACATTGGGTAGGACCTCCTGACCCTGAGATACTATGAAAATGCTTTTAAAAATCCACACTTGCACTTCACCTTTTTCCAATTTCATTGAGACATCCAAATTTTAACTCTCCTTTTTCGACAAGGACTGAGATTCAACCTTGGATTTGAGGGAAGTGGAAGCTAAATGGGAAGGAGAGTTCTTCCCAGAAACAAGCAAATGCCAAGCTCTGTGGTATCACCTAAGTATCTATTGTCATGTAGAATTCTTATTTCACTTTTTATTTTGCTACAGAGAGAGCCTTTAGCAAAATGATTAGGAATCAGGCTCTGGAATAAAGTGCATCTGTGTTCAGCCCCAGCTCTGCTGCCGCCCAGCTGTAGGACCTACCAAGTCTCCTCTCCTCCTACTCCTGAATTTCTTAAAGGATCAGTAGAAGAACCTGATTTTTAGGCTTAGGGTACAGAGTCAAAATGTGCATTTTTGATCAGACCCAGGAAATGTCATGGGATTTAACGTCAGGACAACCTGTGATGAGACAGTTGCACCAACCCATGAGAACTCAGCTTGCTTTTTGAGTTCAAGCCCCAGGGTTGGCTCCATCTGAATGACACCCTCCCAAACACATGGCACCGCACCTGTGGCTCAGAGTTGATGCAGCGTGACATAACAGACTCTCCTTCCATGCTGTTTAATGAAATTGTTTTGTGGTTATTTCAGAGTTTTGTTACTAGGTTTTCTTTTGTTGTTTTTTTCTTAATGGGACAAAATATGCTGAGTTCATTTATGTGTGAATGAAGGAGTCATGGGTTGGCACTGTTAGGATGGCATCCAGGTAGCTGCCTGAGAGAAATAATAGGTACACAAAAACAGATGTTTACCAGTGACTTGCCGTAGTGTTTGCAAATCCTCTAACTTGCTAGTTCCCCCTATATTGCTTTGTTTTGCAATTTAGAGCCAAGAGCTTGGCATATCCCAGGCTGCCAGTCTCATCCCTGCCAAAGAAATTCAACACTAAAGAATCAGGAATTTAAAGCTGGTTAAATCCATAGGATTGGGGTGGTTTGTCAAGTCAGAGCTCTTGCAACACTATGACTGTTCATTTATCGTTTGGATACAGTGAGTGCAAGGGGAAAAGAGCACTTTAGGAGAAACAGAGGATGAGATGGTGCACTTTTCTCTGTCTTTGTAAGCCAACCTGTTGATGGCATCACCACGTTGTCCAAATCAACAGCTTGGGAAGAATATGGAAATTACATGAGGTTCATGGAGTGATAGGTTCCAGTCAGTTTCTTCATAAAGTAAAAACACACCTGGAACCACAGTAATTTAGCTCAGGAAGCCAGGAAGAATCTTGAATAAAGAATACCGATGAACTTACAGAAGACGGCTGGGTTGAACCACCGTAAGTCCTCTCTTTGAAAAGTTAAGTTACTTACAACAAAACTTGCCAGTGTGGAGAGGTTTAAAGGCTCACTGACTAATCCTCATTAATTAATTAATTAATTAATCCGCTAAGGCGCGGGGCAACTGACCAAGATTCCTTCTTCTGACCATTTTAAGCAACATGGACTTAGAACTGAAGAGCAGCCACGTGTCCTCAACTTCCCTGGCTTAGCAGTTGGGAAGGTGTGGCTCTTTTCTTGTTATCATCCAGCCTACAGCATTATTGCCTTTGACAAAAATTGTATTTCTGGGCTGGTGAGATAGCTCAGTGCTTAAGCATCTGCCTGCCAAGCAGGTACCAAAAAACAAGTTACATTTTCATGAGCCATGAGAGTTGGCTTTCAAGATTGAAGAATTAGAACTACAAAGTTTTAATTATTTAGAGGAATAAGTTCAAGACCTATTGTTCCAACATAGCAGTTATGGTTTATAGCAATACATTGTATTCTTGAAAAATTAATAAAAAGAATTAGAACAGTTGAACAATTGAAAGGGCAGCAGGAACTTGCTGTGATTCAAACTGATTCAGAACATTGGTACATGTTTTGAGTTAATGTTCCTGTGAATGGCTGATACTCAGAATGAACAAGTCAGTAATCATCCAGATGCCCCCTCTGCTCCCTTCATCCCCCCTGCAAGTTTTCATCTATAGCTGCCTCTTCTCTGTTCCTGCCATTCTTCTCTCCTCCTCCAGGCTCTGCTCTGTTTAAACTTTTCTTAGCACTTTCCATTTCAGGCCTCCTGAGAGGTGGGTAGTATAGGAGCGCAAAGGTATTTATCCTAGGGGGCAAGTCTGGGGCTCTTGCCCCGGTACCACTGTCCCACTTCGATTGTACTTTTCCTATAATATTTTTATCTCAATCAGATTTTAAAACAATGAGCCCACCACTGCACTGAGAGATTTACTCAGCAGCCAGATGGAGTCTGGTCTAAGATGCAGCCAGTTTGTGCAGTTGAGCCTCACAGTCTGAACCATTCCAAGAACATGATCATAGCACCGATGCTCCATTACGTGTACCAGCCAGCGAAAAATACATGTGTTAGCAAATTCAGTTTATTTTAAAACATCCTATAATGATTTTAGCAAATTCAGTTTATTTTAAAACATCCTATAATGGACATTTGATGTTTGCCTCTTCTGGGCCTTTGAAGGAGTACAAAATGATGTAATGTGAGGTTTCACTCTCCTCACCCTGACCCCTTGCTTTGGAGATGCATGCAGGATGAGGTTAGAGACCCATGTAGCACCCTTGCGGTGCGGCACTGGCACCCAGCACTTGCTCAAGGCTGCTCGCCCAGAGCTTGGGATATGATTCCCAGAAACACCTTTCCCATCTTTGGTCTCACTAGTCACAGGAAAAGTCATTCAATGATCCCAGGATAAAGTCATTGAAGGACCTTTATCCACCCCTCCAACACCCCTAGTTGAAGTATGGCTGGGGAGAAGGGAGTAGTAGTAACTTGTGGGTTGGATAAGATGGAGCTGTGCAGACCTCCCTTCTTCAGCAAGGAGCTGCCTCCTGCTTCCCTTCCTGGGAGAGCCCAGCTCAGGCTGTCCCTTGTCGGTCTCAGTATATTGAGCTGATAGAACTACAGATCAAGTAGGATTATTCCCCTGGCTCAGGTGGCAGTCAGACAAGGCCCTCCTTGCTAGGAGTGGCCGTCAGTGCACAGGCACTTTCAGGAACTTTCTATTCCATTACTTTCCAGAGTCCAGGGTTGCTGCTTCCTGAATTTGGGGGGAAAAAAACCCAAGCACATAATTCTGTCTGCCTCTGGACTGATGTTTGAATGAACATGAAAGAAGCTGCATCTTCACTGAGTACCCTGGCTCTGGTGAATCCAGCCTCAGTGCTGATGGCAGAGCCCCTTGCGAGAGGATTTAGTGTAATGGAGGAAGCAAGCTCCAAGTCAAAGATGCCTCCCATTTTCCTTCCCATCCAGGTAGATACATGGTCTTCTCTAGGCCACAGTAATAGTCCCTTGTGTGTTGGAGGACAACTCAATGTTAAATCCACTTGGATTCAGAAAATCTGGTCACCAAATTACACTTTTCAGTTAAGGACACTGGAAATTGCATCTGTTCCACTTAGACTCTTACTAAACTCCTACAGGCCAACCAGATAGCTCAGCAGACTAAAGTGCCTGCTTAGGCAGACACAGGGACTAGGTTCGATCCCCAGCATGTCATGCCAGCCCCACCCCTGGAGTATGCTATGATGGCAAATGAGACGGCATGGTGGCATGCACATGTAATCCCAGTGCTTGGGAGGCTGAAAACAGGAAGATCACTATGAGACCCATCTGTGTAGTGAGACCCCTGTACTAAATACATTTTTTTTAAAATTTCCCACAAACCAAGTCAATTCTAAATGGGAAATAGCTACACCTCATTTTGATGAAGTGCTCCACATCCCTTGCAGTGAGTTTCACTAGGTAAGGCCTCTGTACACTTCACAGACTTCCCTATGCCCAAAAGCTTGACTTCCCTCACCACTGCCCACTTTGCCACAGTCTCCTCTCCACCTCTCTTGGGGGGACCTTCTGACCTGTGAGCATTGTCCCTTCTCTCAGAGGGCAATGTGCTTTGGATAGAACCCAGCCTTCAAAGTAAACTGCATTTTTGTAGTGGCTTTGACATGCAGATGTGGAAGCCAGAGGTTATTCTGCAGGGGACCACTCTATTCCAGCAGTGCCTTACAGGCAGTCAGCCACTAGGGCCCAAGTGGCCCACGTTTGGGGACCCTCCTGCAGAGTCCCCTTTCTTTTCAAGTATGCCCATTAGCCAAAGGTGCTACGGGCCCTTGTCTTGTCCCACGGTGTGGGTTGAAAGCCATTGCTCGCTCTCCCTGCAAAACTGCGATGGAGGGCCAGATGAATGGCACCAACCACCTATTA